GATATCTAAACACACATCCACTTATGACTGAGGAAGAGGATGACATTTTCTTAACAAGTGAGTGGCATCAATTTGATACTTAACAAGGAGTAAAACTAGGAACGATGCCATCTTTTTGAAAGTGTGTGGGGTCTTCTATGTTGGATTTTGAAAATTCCCAAATAAATGGCTCTAATGTAATCCAAAGGTGAATAAACTGGTTATATTTCACACAAAAGAGTTCTTGGAAGGTTTAATTGAGAGGCTGCATTGTGCAGCTGTAAAACAGGAAAAATTCAAACAAGGATTGGGTAAGAGAATAAGGATAAACCTCAATGCCATTATACAATCTCTGTTGCATCATGGCTTTATCTAACATGCTAAGTATGGCTGTAGCTGCTGCCCCTCCATCCAAAAAATGCAAGATTGTGGGGAGATACAGAAATAGTGGTTTGGAGCATTTATTTTTTGGGTGGGGGGGTCAGCTGGGGAAATGGACATAGTTTTATAAAATGTTGCAGAGATAGCACCTAATGGAAAGAGATGGTTCTACCATTAATGAAAACAAACTATTTCTAAGCAAGACCTTACCTGGATATTAATTTTAATGGCAATGCTTGGAAATAGTTAATGGTGCAGTAAAGGAACTGCTAGGAGGATGCTCTCAGCAAACACCAAGGCATGTCTACAATAGCATCCCTACACTGAATCAGGCCACCAATCTAACCGTTTTTACAAGAGCAATCAAACTGCAAAACAATCTTTTGCATATTTACTTAGAAGTAGGTCCCACTGTGTTCAATGGTTTTATTCCCGAGGAGAACATGCACACCTTTAACAAAGGTACTGAATGACAGACACATGAATAGCAGAATGCTCCATTCATATAATTCACATTCAGTTTCAGTAACATTTTGGTTATACTTTGAAGATATGTACCCTAACCTCTTGGTATTCTTACCTCTCTATTTGTTGAGTAAAACTATTTGCATTCCCAACTAACCGTCAGTATGCTGTGCTGCTGTAACTATGACACCAGTAAAAACCTCTGTTTTGTAAGATGGGGAAAACTTAAAACCTGCAATCTTAGTTTCTCCAGGTGTCTTTACTACTATTTATCTAGTGACTCATGTCTTTCTTTAGCTCAGTCACACACTACTGGCTTGTCTAACTGATCATTTTTTATGAGGATTATTGTGTGCATGTGAAATGCATGACCACGTATGGAGAACAGTATTTATTAGTATAAATATGGAGAAGGAGGAGGAAGATTTCTGCAGTGAATACTGTGTTGACCATTTAGATCAGACCATCTAGAATAAAAGAATAAGCTGCTGTAATTTGAGGTTGCAAGACGTACAGCTTGTAAGAGTGTGGTTTTCATTTCTGAAAATCTGCTTCATATTTGGACTTTTGCATATTATGCGGGTGTGTTCCTTTCATTATGAATTTCTGCCCCTACTTCCCTGTCCTATTAACTTTGGGGTGGGGAATCCTTATATGAACTTAAGTTCAGAAAATGTAACTGCACTGGCTTCATTGAAAATTTAAGTGCAGAATCCACCCAGAATTTCCTTTTAATTGTTCCCAGTGTTACTTTGCACAAATAGAAGAAGAGAGAGCTCTTCCCCCAATATCGAGCCACATTTGATTTCTGAGAAACTTGGTGCAATTTGATGTACACAGATTCCTGCCTAATGAATTGCAGGCATTCACTTGGCCTGTCCTGGTTCCCCAAAA